GTCCAAAGAGTTTACTGTATCGGTACTACGTACCGATACACTTTGTAAGTTCCAAAAATTTTAAGTCGAGATCTGGGGTCCATTTTTCACCCTAGAGAGGAAGAAAGGAGGAGAAAAATAAGAGATTAAGAGTGGATTCAAGTTGGAGAAAGATCAAATCTCAAGTTCTTCACACAAAAACCAAGGAAGAAGAAGGTAGGGGGTTTTCTTCTGTTCTTGTACATTGAGGTTAGGGTTTATATATATATATATGTACATGTTTTGCTTCTAAATCTTAAATATATGCTATGAAATACTTGTTCCTTGAAGTTTCTACAAGTAACACCATGTTTTGAAGGTATTTTTGGTTTGATAGCCATAAAAACCCTAGTTTTTGAGAAAAATAGATTTTTCTTCTTAATGTTCCATTATTCTTGATTCCAAAACTATAATGCTTTGTATTAAACAACAAATGTTAGTTGTGATGATCTCTTGCTTATTTTCTTAAATTGTGCTCTTGTAATACAAGTTGTGAAATTTGGAAATTTTGAATTTACTTATGATTTGAGAAAAACGATTGGAATGGTATCTCTTGTATGGTTGTTGTGATGGACTTGAATCGCATTCGAGCACTGTCGTAGAGTGTTAGAGGTTAGTCTATCCCAGTGGGCGTGAGATGGTTTCCTAACACTTGTAGTGGTTTGTTGTTTGTGAGAGCAACCACTATTGTTCACGTAAGTTCGAGGCTGAGGGTGGGTATACCTTTCCTGGGAAGGATTCATCAATGCCGTGGGAGATGGTATTCGCACTTTCTAAAGTGGTTTGTGTGGTTATGGTTGTGTGAATGAGATAGAGTCATTGTGTAGATTCATGGGAAGCAACCAACATACATGAGAAGATGTTTATTGTGTGGAATTGGTTTCCTACAAGAGCTTGTGGAGGTATGGGACTCTACAAGAACTTGTGGGAAATGACTTATGGTCAGAAATGGTTTATTGTTTAGGAATTCATTTTACTGTTCATTTAAATTATTGTTATTGTATAAACTTGAGATCTATTGAAATGTTCCTGTTTTCTTTCAAAAATTAATATATGATATTTGCAAAATGAGACCGACTTATTTTTACATGCTTTCTAAACCTTGTATGAGTTTGGGAGAATGTTGCTATAGAGCTTCATGCTCATCCCCTACAAACAACATATTTTTCATATTATGTGCTAGAGGAGGAACTAGAAGTAGATGAACAAGCACATTGGGAAGCTCCTATAGAAGGGAACGTGGATCTCGAGGTGGACGTCTAGAGTTATATTCTCTTTTGTTCTAGATTGGGATATTTATTTTGAGACTATGTAAAGTCAATCCTTTTGTAATTCCGCTGCATGTTAAATTTGATTCTTTTGCGATGAAATTGTCATAGCTTGGCATATTCTTTTGGATATAGTGGCCATGGTTGGCCTATTCTTTTGGGATGATATTGTAAATGATATATTTAATAAATGAAATTTTCTTTAATGATGGATTTACTTAGTTGCTCTCATGTTGTGAATGGTTTATAGATTGTAATGTCGTCCATGGTGGGTTTTGGGGCATTACATGACACTTGAAACATCTACTCATGAAATCCCCGATGTGCCTCTTTATCCCACTCTAATAGTACTGACGACGAAAATCATGATACATCTTTGTGCTACTGAGATGAACCGCAAAACTAGAACATTGAAACTCTGCAAAACGAGAATAATAAAACTCTATGTGTATCTCCTTCATCAAGTCAATAGACTGAGGAATTGTAACTCTGCCCCTGAATTAAAGACAGCCATCAACATGAATACCCAACCCTCTCTTGTACATGGTCGTAAATGAAAAATATTTTTGTATCCTACCCCTAGGACTCAATCACCCTACTCAATAAAGAAGGCATAGCTACAAGAGTGCCCAAAACGCCCTGAGCCTGATCCCTATAGTGTAGCCCAAACTACCCCACAGTCTCGTGCATCTACCACTCCTGGGAAGCTATACCAGCCAAAACCCCCCAACAACTTCCAGCTGAGTGCATCAGCCACCACATTTGCCTTACTAGGGTGGTAATGCAATGTGATTGTAATCCTCCAAGTACTTCATTCATCTACGTTGCCTCATGTTGAATCCCTGTTGTGTGAAGATGTGCTTCAAACTCTTGTAGTTTGAAAACACCTCAAATTGTTCTTCATACAAATAGCGGCATCATGCTTTCAAGGCAAAGATAATGACCACCAACTTCAAGTCATGTGTAGGGCAGTTCTGCTCGTGATTTTTCAGCTATCGTGAATCATAAGCTACCAAGTTCTTAGACTGCATCAAAACATAACCTGTTCTGTCCTTAAAGGGATCACAATAGACCATGTACCTTTGTCCCTCTCTAAGACAATCAAAATAAGAGCTAAAGTTAGCCGCCTCTTCAGCTCTTGGAATGACCTCTCACACGAGTTATCCCATTGAAACCTAACATCTATCCTAGTCAATCATGTCATCAAAGCTGCTAGGCGGGAGAAGTACTCAATGAACCTCCTGTAGTGCCTTGTCAATCCTAAGAAATTTTGTATTCGAAGACTAACTTTGGCCTCTCCCAACTCATGACCACCTTAATTTTCTTTGAGTCAACTGATACACCCAAAGCAGAGACCATAGTCCCAAAAATTCACCATAGTCAGCTAAATATCTTTTTTTTCTTAGTCAACTAAAATTCACATTTGCTTAATTAGGCATACAATTGATGATCCATCAAGGTCTGTGATTAACCCTAATTAGTGTATAAATTAGAATAATTAAATAGGTCAAATTGGTAAGATAAAATACCTAAAAACTATCAATTATGATCAATTAGGGATTGTGCAAAAATCAAGGTTATATGTGGGTTGTGTTTAAAAATTTTAGGGTTTAATGCAGAATTACCAAAGAATACAAAGAATAAAATGTCAAGGCTTGAAACAATGAAGGACTGAAGTATAATTTCTACAAAACATGGGTCAGCATCCAAGTTGATAATCCAACAAGATGCCACCGTCCGAACGGTAGAGGGGCGTCCGGACGGTCCTCCAAAGGCGGCTAATGATCATCTCTCCACCTCATGCTCTCCTTTGGCAATAAATAGGCATGCACACCTTCATTTGAAGAAGGCTAGGTTCAAGGGATCCAGAGAGAGTTCCAAAGAGAAAAATAAAAAAGATAAAGATAAAAAGAGAAATTGCAACACAGATCCGGTCCGTGAATACACTCCACCCGATACTCTGTGCTTTACATTTCTATTGTATCTTTCTATTTGGACAACTGAACTGATGCCACTTTTTTGTGATAACCAATAATAAAGGTGGTTGTGTTTCGGTTGTTCCTTGTGAAAGACGTTTTAGGGTTTGTATTCTAATTTCAATTGTAATGAAAATTGCTTGCACTCATTGCTTGTCTGTAGCAATGGGGCGTGAGTAATTACTTATATCCTCCAGTGAGAGGAAAACATATGTACAATATTGATTAACTTCTAGAAATGCTGATATTTTATATATTTATACATACATGTATTATATGCTTCATGCATGATACAGTGATGTATGTAATTTCGGTTCTGTGCCTAGAATTGTATCATCAGTGCATCATCAATATGCTAGTTAAATATCTACAGTGTTCCTATTGGTATGGTTTATCCTCCACCATAATACTAAGGATGTTTAACTGTTGCAAGGTACTAAACCTAAATGATCCTCATGAATGACTTGTTCTTCTGGATTATTAGGGTTGTTCATATATAATAATACTGCCAGATGAATATCTACCGTGTTCCATCGGTGTGGCTAGTCCTACACCAAAATGCTAAGGATGTTCTACTATAGCATGCTATAATTATCAGATTAATGACCTAAGTGATCCTCGTGAATGGCTTTTTCTTCTGGATTACTAAGATCGTGTAAATGGTATATATGATAATATTGTCAGTCGAATATCTAAGGTATTCCTATCGGTATGGCTAGTCCTCCATCGGAATGCTGAGGATGTTTAACTAGTATATATATCACAGATGATCTATTGAAAGATTCAAGTCTTCCTCATGAATGACTTGTCCTTTTGGTTTGCTTGAATTAGTCAAATGGCACATCTATAACCAGCTAACCTAAGAAGTTGTTGTGTTATGACTTAATACCACCAGTTAACCTAAGAAGTGGTTGTGTTATGGTTTATTATATACACACCTAATATTATGGAGTCAATTGAATAATTCAAGTATTCCTCATAAATGGCTTGTCCTTTTGGTGTGCTTGGATTAATCAATTGTCATGGATACCACCAGCTAATCGAAGAAGTTGTTGTGTGATGGTTTATATACATCAGACCTACCAGTTGACTTGCCAGTAAGATGGAAGTTAATTGTTGTAAGGTAGAATTTTTAGTATTTGACCAATATAACGCATATGAGATCCTTGAACTGAAGGATACTTTTTATTATTGTTTTAATCAATCTGCAAATAAAAGTTTAACTAGACTAGTTATCAATCTAAGCTCACATCACAAACTATCACATGTTGTCCTATCTAAAATTAACAACTTCAATATTTTTATTTTATTTTCTAATTACACACACTCTTCATAAGGTCGATACTTGGACTTAAAACTGAGAAAATTATAATTCACCCACTTGTATAAATCCAATCACGAAAAAAATGCGAATCAAGTTTTTGGCGCCGTTGCCAAGGAGTTACAGTAATTTGAAAATAAATAAAATACAAAAAAAATTTATTTGTATTATATGTATAAAAAGTGTGTTTTCTTTAATAGTTTATGTCTGCTTTTTCTTTTTTTTAAGAAAACCTCGATGGTACGAGGAGATTTTATTGATTTTAAAAATCCAATTACACCTAGTTAGGGGGGACGTATGTACCTTACCCCTTTATGCAATCTAATTACATTAAAGTAATTAAAGAAAAATAAATGCATGCTTAGTGCAAGAAATAAATAAAAGTAAACTATCCTAAACATGCCCCCTTTTCAATTCCTAATAATCAGCTGATAAAAGATAGGCAGCTAAAATGTAGTTGAATTGGAAGAGTCCAGTTGCAGTAGACGCCAATAAAGATAGGGAACTCCAGCAATCATTATCCAGTGGATAGACTCCTAGCAAAATAAATCTTTGATAAGAGTCCAGAAATATCCAAAGCATATCTACAGAAGTCCGCTGGAAAAGATCATGTTGGCTTCTAATTTTGGTAATAGAGTCCTTGCAAAAAGAAAAGAAGCCGTGAAGAGTCCAGCTGATATTAATCTCTGCCAAAATCCAGCTGAATAGACATGCAAAGCCCAACAAAAATATCCATCTAAATGTAGAGTGAAAAATCCAGCTGAATGAGAACAAAACTAGTATTAACTGTTCACGTGAATAGTAAATGCTGCCAGAAACCAACCCCCAAACCAGCTGTGAAAACCAGCAACCAGTGACACTCCAGTCCAGCTGAAGGAGAACAAAAATCAGCATTAACTGATCATGTGAACAGTCACGTGAACAGTTAATGCTGCCAGAAATACGTTGCCCCCAAACCAGCTGAGAAAAACCAGCTGCAACACTCCAGTCCAGCTGAAGGAGAACAAAAAACGCTGCTCCCAAGCCAACTAAACAGTGGAGCTGAACTGTGCCACAAGTAGTTCCTGCAGTGAAACAGTAGCTCCCAGCTGTAGTAGATGAAAAACCAGCTGAATGTCCAACTAACAGTACCGTGCACAGTGTCTTAACTACTCCAACTGATTCTGAATCCATCTGAAGCTCGCTGCAAAAAATCCATTCCAAAAAAATGACAAAAATCCAGCTGAGTGGTAAGAAAAATTTAGCTGAGAGACTGTGAAGTTTTGTTGATAGTCCCCAGCTAAAATAGAAGTCCTGCTGAGTCCTGCTGATAATCCCCAGCTAATATAGAAAGATGAAAGAGAAACCTACAAGTAATAAGACTATTTAAACAATAGTCCACTTGTCCCAAAAAACTCTCAGAATTCAGCTAATTTTGTCAACATGTCCGCATAGATTTCACAGTTGTTCCCTGATTTGGAAAGATAGAATTCCAAGTAATAAAAGACCAGCTGAGCAATTGCATCACCAAGCTTATCCAGCAATAATTCAACTGCATGTAATAAGAATCATCAATGAACAGTCCAAGAAGCATCATAATACTTCTTACAAAGAGCTCTCAACTGAAGTTGATCTTGTAAATTAGTCATATCCTTCGTCTTCATCTTGATCTACACCAAAATCATTTGAATTAAGTATGACTAGAAACGTACCTAGGAAAGAACAACCTAGAGAACATGAAATAGTTCAAAATATTCGACCATTAAGAGAATATTTACATCCAACCCGAACTAATGTCCCATCATGTTTTACTTTTCCCCCAGATGCTACAAATCTTAATATTAAACCAGGAACAATACAATTATTACCACTGTTCCATGGTTTAGAAACTGAAAATCCTTATGTGCATATGAAAGAATTTGAAGTTTGTGGAACTTTGCAAGATAATTCTGAAATTGTTAGATTAAAAATTTTTCCATATTCTTTGAAAGATAAAGCAAAACAATGGCTTAGTTCTTTAAGAGCTAATTCAATCACAAACTGGCACGCTTTACAAACTGAGTTCTTTAAAAAGTTTTTTCCTGTACATCGCACTAATACATTAAGACGTCAAATAATGAACTTTTCTGTAAAAGAAAGTGAAAGTTTTTATCAATGTTGGGAAAGATTTAAAGAGCTTCTCCAAGTTTGTCCACATCATGCATTTGAAAACAGGACTTTAGTTGATTTTTTCTATGATGGTTTTCCACCTGCATTGTGACAATTTGTTGAAATAATGGCGCAGGGGGAATTTATGAGTAAAAATTCTGAAGAAGCATTTCAATTTTTTGATATTATTTCTGAAAGTTCCCAGATGTGGGACTCAACTTCTTCAAATAGTCATCTACATCCGAAAGAGGAAAATATGTGTTAAAAGAAGATAATGATTTAAGAGCTAAAATGGCTAGTTTATCTCAAAATCTGGAAGCTTTAGAAATGAAAAAAAATAAAAAAAGTGTCTGTTGTTTTAACTACTGATCAAATATGTGAAAGTTGTTCGTTGTTAGAAAATCCTACAGCGGAATGTCCAACTATACCTGCATTCAAGGAAGTTTTAATTGAACATTCTAATGTTGTTCCAATTTATAATAAGCCAATTTGAATCTATATTTTGAAACTTACAATCCAGGATGGAGGAATCATCCAAATTTTAGTTGAAAAAATACACAACCTACAAATCAAACACAAGGTCCACCACAACCACAAAATTAACAATAATATCAACCATATCAACCCCCACAAAGAAGAACTCTGGAAGATACTATGAATCAATTTATTCAAAGTCAAATGAGTTTTAATAATCAAACAACTCAAGCTTTTAATGATTTTAAAGCCCAAACTTCTCAGAGTATTGAAAATATCAAGAGTCATCTAGCTAAGTTAACTCAGTCCCTTAGTATGCCAGAAAAGGGAAAATTTTCATCTCAGCCAAAACCTCCGCAAAGTCAAGCTAATTTTGTGTCATTTGAACCTTGTCCAAGTCAAGTACAAGCAATCACAACGTTAAGAAGTGGTAAAATCATTGATAAAACTATTAAACCTAAAATTTCAAAAAAATTACAAAAGTCAATTCCTATTAATGAACCTTCAAATGAAAAACAACCAGAATTACAAAATGAAAAAGATCAACCATATCCTATTCCTTTACCTTTTCCACAAAGGGTTAAGAAACCTACATCTGAAAAAGATCAATCTGAAATTTTTGAGCTATTTAAACAAGTCAAGATTAGCATTTCTTTGATAGATGCTATAAAAAGAGTTCCAGCTTATGCAAAATTTTTAAAAGATCTTTGCACAATAAAAAGAAAAACAAATGTACCAAAGAAAGTATTTCTTATTGAACAAGTCAGTACTATAATACAACATAATACTCTTCTTAAGTACAAAGATCCAGGAAGTCCAACAGTCTTATGCATCATTGAAAATTTCCGAATTGAAGAATCTCTGCTAGATCTTGGAGCCAGTTGTAATTTAATGTCATATTCAGTGTATACACAATTGGGATTAAGTGAATTAAAACTTATTAGTGTTACACTACGATTAGCAGACCGATCAATAAAAACTACACGAGGGATTGTGGAAGATGTTATCATCCAAGTGGATCAATTCTATTTCCCAACAGACTTTATCGTTATAGATACCCAACCAATTTTCCCTGCATCTGCATACATACTTATTATTCTAGGTCGACAATTCCTAGCTACATCAAATGGATTAATTAATTGTAGAATTGGAATCATGAAACTTTCATTTGGAATTAAATGTTTTTATCATTGCAAAACAACCTAGAGAAGAAGATGAAGTGCATGAAGTAAATTGTCATTAACCCAAAAGTTTTTTGAAAAATTTTTTCTGAAAAAAGAATTATATACATTAGAATCTATATCTAATGATAAGTCTAAAAATATAGAAGAACCAGAATGTGAAAAATATGTTGCCTAAATCTGTAGAATCTAATCCCAAAGTCTTTAAACCAGATTTAAAACAACTTCCAACCAACTTAAAATATGTTTTTCTCAAAAAAAAAAAAATTCGTCCTATAATCATATCATCAAATTTATCTGAAAGTCAAGAAAAAGAATTAACAGAAGTATTGAAAAATTATTAAAGTGTTCTTGGATGGACAATAGATGATATAAAAGGTATAAGCCCCCTTTTGTGTACTTATTGTATATATTTAGAAGAAAATGTTAAACTATCTCATCAAATGCAAAGAAGATTAAATCCACACCTAAAAGTGGTAGTTCGCAATGAAGTACTTAAACTATTAGATGCAAATATTATCTATCATATATCTGATAGTAAATGGGTTAGTCCTACACAAGTAGTTCCAAAGAAGTCTAGTGTTACTATAATACAAAATAAAAAAAATGAATTAGTCCCAATGCGTACAGTCACAGGTTGGTGTGTATGTATTGACTACCGTAAGCTAAATTCGCTCACTAGAAAATATCACTTTTCATTGCCTTTTCTTGATCAAGTATTAGAAAGAATATCTGGTCATGCATTCTATTGTTTTTTAGATGGATATTCAGGTTATAATCAAATTGAAATTGCAATAAATGATCAAGAAAAACTACATTTACATGTCCTTTTGGTACTTTTGCATATAAAAGAATGACTTTTGGACTATGTAACGCTCCAGCTACCTTTCAACGTTGTATGCTAAGTATATTTAGTGATATGGTGGAACAATATCTAGAAGTCTTTATGGACAATTTTTCAGTATATAGGGATTCATTTCATATATGTCCAAAAAATGTGGAAAAAGTACTTATTCAATGTGAAGAAACAAAACTTATTTTTAATTGAGAAAAATGTCATTTCATGGTTACACAAGGTATTGTTCAAGGTCATATAATGTCCAAAAAAGGAATTGAAGTAGATAAATCAAAAATTGATCTGATAGTTAATCTGCCTTCACCAAAAATAGTAAAAGATATTCACTCGTTTCTAGGTCATGCAGGATTTTATAGAAGGTTTATAAAGAATTTCAGTTCAATATCTAAGCCTATATGTAATTTGTTATGTCAGGATATAATATTTTAATGGAATGAGGGATGTCAATCAGCGTTTGATAAATTAAAAAATATGCTTATTTCTGCACCTATTATGCAACCTCCTGATTGGTTGGTACCTTTTGAAATAATGTGTGATGCAAGTGATTATGCAGTAGGAGCTGTATTAGGTCAAAAAAAAGAGAAAAAACCTTATGTTATCAACTATGCAAGTAAAACCTTAAATGATACACAAATGAACTATTCAACCACAGAGAAAGAACTACTTGTTGTCATATTTGCATTAGATAAATTTCGTTCATATCTAGTAGGATCGTCAATTGTGGTATTTATAGATCATGCAGCTTTAAAATACTTACTTATCAAGAAAGATGTTAAACCATGTCTCCTACATTGGATATTGCTATTACAAGAATTTAATCTTATCATCAAAGATAAGAAAGGAGTAGAGAATGTAGTAGCAGATCACTTGTCAAGGCTAAATTATGAAATAAAAAAAGAATCAACCCCGATTAAAGAAACTTTTTCAGATGAACAACTGTTTTGCAGAAACAAAAGTACCATGGTATGCAGATATAGCTAATTATTTAGCCACCAATACTGTTCCTTCTAATTATACCTGGTCTGATAAAAATAAGTTTCTAAGTAAAGCACACAACTTTTTCTGGGAAGATCCTTATCTGTTTATATTGTAAAGATCAAATTAGAAGGCGTTGTGTACCTAATCATGAAATAGGTCAAGTAATTCAATCTTGTCATTCCAAAGCTTGTGGAGGTCATTTTGCTTCAAAGAAAACTGCTGCTAAAATTCTGTAGTGTGGACTTTATTGGCCAACTCTTTTTAAAGATGTTCATATCTTTTGTTTAAATTGTGATAGATGTCAAAGAATGAGAAATATTTCAAAAAGAAATATGATCCCTTTGAACCCGATTTTAATCATTGAAAATTTTGATTGTTGGGGTATCGATTTTATGGGTCCATTTTCCCCATCTTTTGGATATCTGTATATTTTAGTTGCAGTCAACTATGTCTCTAAATGGGTAAAAGCAATTCCATGTCAAAATAATGATTACAAAATAGTGATCAAGTTTTTAAAAGAAAATATTTTGTCCAGATTTGAAATTCCTCGGACTATT